TCTCAGAGGACCCCGTCCTTGCCCGACCTGTTTCGGCCTGCAAACTTCGCGAAGCCGTCGGTGCCCCTCCCCGCCCATGTGGGCCCCCGCGGGCTGCCCACGCCTGTCCCCCAGATCCCCGTTCCGCTGGGCTTTCCCCTCGCCGGGGGTGGCTTTCTGAGCCGCCCGTTCCGTGCCCTTCTCTGCAGCCTTTTCTGCCACTCGGGGCCCCCGTTCCCCCTCCTAGCGGCGGGGGGCTGCCCCCGGGGGGCTGGCTGAGCTGGGCCGCGGGGGCCCCGGGGCCGGCGGTGCCGGGGTCATCGGGATGATGCGGACGCAGTGTCTGCTGGGGCTGCGCACGTTCGTGGCCTTCGCCGCCAAGCTCTGGAGCTTCTTCATTTACCTTTTGCGGAGGCAGATCCGCACGGTGAGCCTGGGTGGGCACTGGCGGTGGTGGGGAACTCTGTTCTTGGTGCTCATGGGTTTTCGGAAAGTGTCAGGCCTCTGGGCCCAAGAAGGGAGTCCTGACAGGGCTTTTCTACGAGAGGATTAGGGCATCCTAAGCCGGACGGAGGGTGGTGAGGGAGACCCTTATAAGAGAACTGAGATCTGGGGTTTTTAATGGGACTAGATAGCACAGGATTTGGCAACTCTTGGGGGCTAGAGTGGTGGGTGGGGCGCTCTTTAAGAAAGCTAGAGTTGTTGCTAAAGAAACCGAGAGGCGGGGAACACCTGTTTGCTGGCAGCCAGATCTATGGATGTGGACTTGTGAAAGACCCTCCTGTTGGAACCTCTGGGTTTGTTTGGTCTTGGAGAGAGAGGCTTACGTGTGTCAAGGGTGGGGGGTGGGTGGGTAGGAGGGCATGTGTAACAAACGAGGATGGGAACTTGGGGAAAGCCCTTGGTATGAAGGAGAAACCTCTGCAGTTTCTGTTAAGGCAACTCCTCCAAAAAGGCCCTGGAAACTTATTTCATAGTGGGATTGTAGGATTATGGATTTATTGGGACTCTGGACAGAAAAAGATGCTTTTATGATGACATGCCTTAGTTGTAGGAGGGAGCACATTAAAGTTTGGGCATCTGGGTTAGGAGACAGGCTGGTTAGTAGAGCTTGCATTTGAAGATGTGCTTGTTGCTCCAGAAGACCTTAGAATTGGGAGGGGGTGGGGTCAGACTGTTTGGATGTACCTAAGCATCTCTAGTTCCCTCCTCCAAAGCTTTTCTCCAAGGTTGAAGAAGCTCCTTTGGCTAACATCTCTTAGTGAATGTGCCCCTGTGTTGTCATCACCAGTTGGGCAAATACTCTGAAGGAGTGTGGGGAAAACTGAGTGAGCTGGGGTGTAGAAGTCTGTATTCTCTGGCATATTTCAATATAATTTGAAGGAATAAAATATAGTAGGGGTGGCCTGGGTCAAGAGAATTCCCAGAAAGCCCTGGGTGGGAGTGGTGATTGACTTATTGATTTTGGGGAATGGCCTGGCCTTGGGTTCTTCCTCTCCAACAGTTTATTTCTTCCAGTTCCTGATTTAGGGCTCCCACTGTTTGGGGAGGTGATGGTTGTAGGCAGGGCTATTCTCCTAAGAAAGTTAGAAGCCAAAAAAAAATTGAGGTCAGAAAGGCTGAGACAAATGTGAAGCTAGCTCCTGGGGTTTTCTTTATGTGTTCTTTATGTGTCTCAGTCCATTCTCTGTCTGATCTTGTCCTGAGAATTCCCTCTTCTCCCCCCTAATACACCAGTTTTAGGGGAGTAGTACTCCAGTCCATTTATTGGAAAGTTAGTTACTTCCAGAATTGCTTTTTGGGTAACACTGACCCAACAGCCTTTTGTCTTCCTTTCCAGTCTAGTTTCCTCCCCCACCCCGCTTTCTGGCAAACACTTGGAGCATTCCCTACATGCCCAGCATAATGCAACCCGAGATAGGAGGGCAGGATACCCGAGCTGTTTCAGCCTTCATCACAGCCCAGGGAGAAAAGAAGGGCAGATGCCTTGGGATTAAGGGGAGAGAGGATTTTTTGGTTTGCAAACAGGGGGAGCATGGTTCTGGTTTGGCTTGGGGCCTAGGCATAGATCAAAGAGTGTGTCTTAGAAGAAAAGAGCAGAGAGAATTGCCAGGCTTTGCATGGTAGATCTGACTTGGGAAATGTCCTCTAGAGAAGGCTTGGAGAAGGAAAGCTGGAAGGCTGAGGTGGTGACATTCCTGTCCCTTCTTCACTTCTCTCTCAAAGGCCTTACTTCATTCTGGCAGGTGGAGCTTTCCAATATTCTCTGCCTAACATGGGTACTGGGCTAAGGAGGTTGTTCAGGGGGTTGAGGTTCTCTGAAACTTGTGACTTGGCTTGTAGAGACACAAATGGACAGGTGGCTGGTTAAAATAGGTCTGGTGGCCACCAGCCAGAGGAACTTAGCTGACCTGACAACCTTTGGATTCCCTCATTCTCTATTCCCCTTAGCAAACCAAGGATCTCCTTGTCCACCAAGAGTCTGAGGCTTTTAGTTCCCAATGGAAGATGATGTTTCCACAATGAATCCTTGGAGTGAAAGTCGGGATTTCTTTGTTCAGCATACCAAACATCATGGTTAAGATGGCAGGCTCTTGGGTCAGTCTTCAGAGAACAATCCTGACTCTACCCCTTCATTGATTCTGTTAATATTAACTGCCCACCCTTGCTGCAGTGTCCTAGGCAATGGGAAAGAAGCCATGATTGGGACAAAATTCATGCACTCATGCAGTTTTCATTCTAAATTGGGGAGGTAAGATGTTGAAACCTTGGAATCCTCAGTTTCTTCATCCTTAAAATAGGGATAACAACACCGGGCATGGTGGTGCAAACATGTAAACCAGCAACTTGGGAGACTGAGGCAGGAGGATTACAAGTTTGAAGCCAGCCTCAGCAACTTAGTGATATCCTGTCTCAAATAAAAACTAAAAAGGAATGGGATGTAGCTCAGTGGTAAAGTACTCCTGGTAAAATCCCCAGTACCCCCCCCCCAAAAAAAAAAAAGGTTTTGGGGAAGAGGAATAATAATATTATTAGAATAGTTTTAAGGATTAAGTGAAACAATCCTAAATCACGTAGTGCCCAGCATGTGATAAATAGTCAGTTTTTGATACCTGTTATTATTTCTGGGGAAGATGTACTTGTTAAGTATTCTAATCCTTTCTCTCGTCATCTTTAGGTAATTCAATACCAAACTGTTCGATATGATATCCTCCCTTTATCTCCTGTGTCTCGGAATCGGCTAGGTGAGTATGGTGGCTGGAAAGACCCCTTGAGATGAAGTAGGACTCCACCTGTGGGCTGGAGGTCAGTTGCTGTTTTTCTTTCCCATTGTGGTTCAGCCCAGGTAAAGAGGAAGATCCTGGTGCTGGATCTGGATGAGACACTTATTCACTCCCACCATGATGGGGTCTTGAGGCCCACAGTGCGGCCTGGAACGCCTCCTGACTTTATTCTCAAGGTGTGTGGGGATGGATAGTGATGAAAGGGTTGTGTCTGTTACTCTGCCCAGTCCTGGGCTCCCTTGCCCAGAGTATCTGGTCCCTGATCCCTGGCACCTGTGTCAGCCTGGAAAGCAGGAGGTAGTGGGGGTTACAGAGATGTTGTCTAGGTCTGTGTCATGGTGTTCAGAATATGCTCAGTCCTTCCTTTCTACAGGTGGTCATAGACAAACATCCTGTCCGTTTTTTTGTACATAAGCGGCCCCATGTGGACTTCTTCTTAGAAGTGGTGAGTATACACAAGCTAAAGGGAATTCTGTAATGAAGGAATAGTTGTAGGGCTTGGAGATTTTAGGGGATTTGGGGAAAGGGGCGAGAAGTGGGTGAGGGCAACTTTGGAGAGGGAAGGATGTATGAAGGTAAAAGGAATGACTTTCAGTAGTTGAGGTTCATTTGTTATACTGATATAATTCTATTCTTCCATGGGCATCCTACTCATTTGTGTTTGTATTTTTGAATCTTAAGTTATGGAAAGCCTCACACATTGATTTTGAAGGTTTGGGGAATTTCAGAATTTCCTGTCCCCAAAGACATTTGATGTTGCTAGGAGGCCTGAAGCATTAGACTGAAAAAGAACTGTACACCAGTTTAAAAAACCCAGGGTGGAGTAGGGGGAGGTGTGTGTGTGTGTGTGTGTGTGTGTGTGTGTGTGTGAGTGAGAGAGAGAGAGCGCGCGCGCGCGCATGCAGGTGCATGAGACATAAAGAGAGCGCGCGCACACACACACACACACACATATACACACTCACCCTGTACATCTTAATGAATCATCGCCTCCTGTGACACCTCTTTTTCTTCCAATCTATTTCAGGTGAGCCAGTGGTACGAGCTGGTGGTGTTTACAGCAAGCATGGAGATTTATGGCTCTGCTGTGGCAGATAAACTGGACAATAGCAGAAGCATTCTCAAGAGGAGATACTACAGACAGGTAAGGAGCTAGAGTCCAGGTTTAAAAGTGATGCAGGCCACTAGGGAGGGATCTGGCTTTGAGGCAGTTGCCTTGATGGGGAAGTTGGGGAGGTGTACTCCATAATTCCCTGCCTTTCAGCACTGCACTTTGGAGTTGGGCAGCTACATCAAGGACCTCTCTGTGGTCCACAGTGACCTCTCCAGCATTGTGATCCTGGATAATTCACCAGGGGCTTACAGGAGCCACCCAGGTATGGGGGAAGATGATGAGTCTGTCAGGGCCAGGACATGACTCATGGGTTGTTTTTTTTTTTTTTTCCTCCCCACCCCACTTTGGCAGTTCTGGGGATGGAACCCAGGGTCTTGTACATGCTGGTCAACCAGCAGCAACATACTCAGCCCGCTCATGAGGCATTTTGAATGGAGGGAACTAGAAAGCTGGATACCTGGGCTTTGAGGTCTGGGATTTCCTGGTCCACGTGCAAGTTCTCTATTTCAAGTGAGATACCCACCCCCATGTGTGAATTTCACAAGTCAGATTTCCTGTATCATTTGTTTCAGGTGGGCCACAATGATAATAAAATTTAACTAGAAACTTCACACTAGTATGAATTTGGGTGATTAATGTATAATCAGGAAGATTTTTACTTAGGCTGTTGACTTGGGTGGTGGAGGTATAGTTTTTTTTTTTTTTTTTAAGTAATGATTTTCAGAAAAAACTTCCAGTATCTCTTGAATCCTTTCTTCTCATCCACATTTTCACCCACTCCAGACAACGCCATCCCCATCAAATCCTGGTTCAGTGACCCCAGTGACACGGCCCTTCTCAATCTGCTCCCAATGCTGGATGCCCTCAGGTAAGGGAAGTGAGTTCTAGATAATCTGGATTTCTGAGGAAAGATAGATAGAGGTGGGGGATCCCAAGGGAATAAAAACATTTGCCGAGTTTTATTTACTTGCCTTCCTTCCCTTAAGAGCTTAAATATTTGGACAAGGTCTTCTCAATTCCAAAGCTCGTCATTCTTAGCCATAGGGTTTTGTTCAAATGACCTGTCTCATCATGTGAAAGTGGTGTTTAATTCTGCCCCGTATCCAGTGAGGTGCCTTACACTAGTGTTGTGAGGATGTCAACTATAAGGTACTCCACCAATGCAAGTTATTGTCATCCCAGGTTCACCGCTGATGTTCGATCCGTGTTGAGCCGAAATCTTCACCAACATAGGCTCTGGTGACAGCTGCTGCCCCTCCACCTGAGTTGGGGTGGGGGGGAAGGGAGGGCAAGCCCTTGGGATGCCGTCAGATGCCCTGTCCAATGTGAGGACTGCCTGGGCAGGGTCTGCCCCTCCCACCCCTCTGCCCTGGGAGCCCTACACTCCATTTGGAGTCTGGATGGACACATGGGCCAGATTGTGAAGCAGCCTCACTCTAACTTCGTGTTCACACTCCATGGAAACCCCAGACTGGGACAGGTGGAGGCCTTGGAGAGCCGAAACTGTCTGGTGGAGAGGCAGGACTGGCTGGAGTGAGAGACAGACATACCGTGATCCAGGAGGCTCAAAGAGAAGCCAAGTCAGCTTTGTTGTGATTTGATTTTTTTTTTAAAACTCTTGTAAAAAAACTGATCTAATTCTTCACTCCTGCTCCAAGGGCTGGGCTGTGGGTGGGAGACTGGGATTTTGGGCCACTGGATCCTCCCTAAACTTGTCCTTCCCTTTCTTTCCCTCTATTTTTCTCCCTAGATTCCCTCCAACCTGTAACTAGCTTTCTCTCTTTTTTTCCCCTTTCCTCTCTTTTAAACCATGCATTATAACTTTGAAACCAAAGCTGCCCTAGGTCCTTCTCTGGGGTTTTGGGAAATGAAGGGAGGGGACTGTGTTCACATCCACCCTGTCCCAGAGCTAGATGGAAAGAGCGATGGGGAGTAACCGGAAAGTTGGTGATGAATATGGAGATAGAGTAATAGGTTTCAGCTACTTTGGCTGGAAGGGCCCAAGTGACAGAATGAGAGTGAGGCAGCTTCAGAGCAGTAGTGTATAGAATGACGAAAGGAGCGGAATCCTGGAGACTCCAAAGGGCATATAGCTGGAGAAAAACCTGGCTTCAGGGGACTGACGTGGCCTGGCTGAGCCCGCGCTGCCCCCAGGTGGATGGCACCCAGGTTCCCGGCGGGCCTGGCCCGCTCTTGCAGTGGCCCCGCCTCCCTGGCACCTCCTCCCCGTAGCCGGCTCTACTTCTTTGCACCCGCCACGTGACGCTCCGCCCTTCTCTGAGATCACATGACTTTTCGTAGAAAACAAATTCTGGAGTGTTCTTCCGCCCTGGCGTGGTTCCTGTCTTTTGGAGTTCATTTCGAATCCTTATCGGTCCGCTCATTCCTGGTCATTAATCCTTATATACATCTGTCCGAACATCTATTTCTTTCCTTTCCTCTTGTTTCTGGAGTTCGTTTCCGCCACTTGGGTACTACTTTGTTTTGGTGTCAACGGCCGCCTTCAACGTAGCAACACGTTTCGTGAATAGCTAGCCTTGTAATTGTCTCTGGTCTTCTCCTACGTTATTTCCGAAAATAACTTCTGGAGAACCAAGTCTCATACTATGATTATCATCTCTTATCCCTTTTCATTCCAAACTTAGTGGCTGGGGGAGGTGGAGAAAGGGTTTTTTGTATTTTTCACCGTAGTAAAACCCAACAACCTTTGCTACGTTGCCTGCGTAGCCCACAAATTGATTCCAAAGAGATTACGCAGATGACGTGAGGTGGACGGACTGTGGGTGGTGCTACGCTAGCGGCGTTAGTGCGCTGTGCCACTTAGCGTATCTTAGCAGGCGGGGCAACCCCGGAAGGTCGGGGGCGGGGTTGGTGAATAGGGAAGTGGCGCAAGTTCGCGGATCGCTCCGCTGAGTCCGCCCGCGCGTCGCCGCCGTCGCCGCCGCCCCCCCATCCCGGCCCCCCCTCCCCCCGGGTTCCCTCAGCCCAGCTCGGTCCAGCCCGGTTCCCGGGAGGATGAAGTTCGTGTACAAAGAGGAGCATCCGTTCGAGAAGCGCCGCTCTGAGGGCGAGAAGATCCGAAAGAAATACCCGGACCGGGTCCCGGTGAGGACAGCAGCCAGGCCGAGGGCTCAGGGTGCTGACGCTGACGCCAAGCCTGGGCTTGGGTTTGAGACCAGCAGCGCCAGAATTGGGCTGCCCGTCTGTGGTGGGGCAAGAATTGAGCCCAAAACTGCTGTCCCTGAGAGGAGGGTTGAAAGGAGTGGAATAGCTGAAGAGCTGGGGGTTGAGGGGATGTCGACCGGAGAGAGAAATTTTGGCATCTGTGTGAGTGAGGCCGTGGGGATTTGACAGTCTGGGCTTTTTATGGTCATCCTCCCAGCTAGCCGAGTTTTCGAGATTGAAGCTCAAGTCAGCCCAGACAAGTCACCCTCTCCTTTGATTAAGGTACTTGTTTGTTATGACGCGCTTTTTGGGGATCGATCCTGGGTATTTAGGTGAGCCAGAGAGGTCAGGATCTCTGGACTCAGTGCTGCATCGCATGTACAGAGACAAAGAAAAATGAGTCTGGGGCAGGTTTGAGTACTGGGAATATATTGTAGCTTGAGTTCCTGATCAGTGGAGCTGTGGTCTGTAGTCTTTATGTCTCTTAATTTTCATCTTTCCTTTATCAGGTGATAGTAGAAAAGGCTCCTAAAGCTCGGATAGGAGATCTGGACAAAAAGAAATACTTGGTGCCTTCTGATCTCACAGGTGGGAACCTGACCTAAGACCTAGGTTTGCTTCCTGTTGGTGGGAGTGCCATCTCTGTGGGAGGAGGCTCCATCTAGCAGTTGCTCTTTGAAAGGCATTTATGACCTCTGTGACTTTCTTGCACCTTATATCTTTGGCAGTTGGTCAGTTCTACTTCTTGATCCGGAAGCGAATACATCTCCGAGCTGAGGATGCCTTGTTTTTCTTTGTCAACAATGTCATTCCACCCACTAGTGCCACTATGGGTCAGCTATACCAGGTATGGTTCCTGGGAAGTAATAGAGGCTTTGGAAGGGAGTTCTGGGAGAGCTTGAGGGGAAGAAAATGCTACTTTTTTGAATTAACATTAGTAGCATTAAAACCTCCTGTCTGTCTTGGGTTGGAGTTGGACAGAACAGTGGGAGTAGAGAGAAGGGAATCAACCAGTGAACTAGAGGAACTGTTCTTATGGTGACTACCTAGTCTTCTTCCTTATTCCAAAATATCAGAAAACACAAATATTTTGCCTCAGGACTACTGCAGAGCCTACTGTCAATGAAGGAGAGTAAGGCACTGGTTTTTGGGGGTCCTTAAGAATGGTTCTTGAAGAATGTATCTGGTTAGTGAATAGTTCAAGTAACTGAAACCAGTTCCCTGAACACCAGTTTCTCTTTTCATTCCCAGGAACACCACGAAGAAGACTTCTTTCTATACATTGCCTACAGTGATGAAAGTGTCTACGGTCTGTGAAGCTGCTGCCCCTGAGGTGGGGGGTCCCATTCCACAAAGAGAGAGGTGGCACCCTTTTCTTGACCTCCACCTCCTTCAGGCTCATACACCACCTCCCTTCTTTGGGACCTGTACTTCTTAATGTTTGAGGCTCTTTCTCCAGCCCCTCTTAGCAGGAGGGGTAGTGGTGGACATGACCTCTTGTACTTCTCCTTTCTCCCCTTTCCCCACCTTTCTTTGTCCTCCATCCTGACTCCACTTTAGACTTCTTGATTGTCAATCTCTGTCTCCTCCAGTGATTGTTTTGGTTTCTGTTCCTTTCTAACTGCCCAGGGGGCTCAGAACCCCAACAATCCCTTCCTTTCATTACCTTCTTTTTGGGGGGTAGATGGAAGGGCCTGAAATTGTCGGGTGAAGGTAGGAGGCACATCAATAAAGAGGAAACCACCAAGCTGAACTGAATTTTGCTTTGTGTTCCTCTCTGCGGCTTTTCTTTTCAGTGTTTCCAAGACCTTGTGGGCTTCAGCGGTGGGGTAAGAGGAGGGAATGGGTATTATTTGGAGGAACAGATATATTTTTTGGTTTATTCTGTTGATGTTGGGCATTTCCCTCTCAGCATAAAAAGGATGCGTTTGTTGTCAATGGTGAAACACTAGTTTCATGTACGGGTTTCTTGGATTCTAAATACTCTTTTTTTCATTGTTGGTTCCTGTGAAGAAAGTTTGAAAGTATCTGCTTTAGATAAACATATCCAATTTTGTTATTCCAGATTATTCATGTGTGGGAGGTGGTGCAAGTACTGTTGTCCTCAGTTGCCTGTCACAAATTTTGTGTCAGCCTGTATGATTCCGTGGAGTAGAATCCGAGGGAGGGAGAAAACTGGGGGGGGGGGGGGAGAAACACAAAACGTTATTACCAAGAGAACTTCATTTCCCAACAATCATTTCTCCGCCCTGCCGGAAGTGGGGCGGTCTTTCGGGGGAGAAAGAAGGTGCAGAATGAGGCAGTATGGTGGCCGAGAGTTCTAATCCCTTCTTCCTCTTAATTCTTGGTCCCGCCTAGCCTACATTTCCCAGCGGCCTCTGCGTGTTCTTCCGGTCTATGCACTAACACCCGAGCTCCCCGCCACTCCCCGGGACGGGGAGAGGCTTATTGCGCTTGCGCCAGCCCGTGGCTTGCTGGGACCTGAAGTTCCAGAGGCTTATATGGTCCCCTTTCCGCTGTCCCCGGATGGACTACAAGCTCCTTGGTGCATTGCGCGTCGGCGCCGACGGAGGGGGGTGGGAGGAGGAGGAGGGAGCAGGCGGCCGGCGGCGCTGGGGGAGGGGGCCCGGTCCGGGAGTGCGGGAGGCAGTGGTAAAGGGAGGTGGCGGCAGCAGCTAGCGGACTGGAGTCTCAACGGAGCCGAAGCGGACACTTCTGTGGAGCGAGGCAGTAGGAGTACCGAGCACCAGAGGCGGCACCGGGATCCCCGGCTGAGGGGAGGGGGGCGCCGGACCGGGAGGAGGGGAGGGGGCGATGCTGGAAGCCATGGCGGAGCCCAGTCCCGAAGGTGAGCTCTCGACCGGCACGGAGCTGGCGGCGGGCGGGCGAGGAATCAATTGGCAAACTTGGAGGCTTGGAGGTCGAGCCCCAGAGCTCAGCGGGGAGTGCGGGGAAGGGGTCGGGGGCCTGGCCCTGGAGCTGGGAAAGCGACGAGTTATAGACCCTGGAGAAAGGAGTGGGAGACTGGGTTGGGGTACTTGGAGATGAGACCCCGTGTGTGGTTTCTTTTTCGCGGTGGGGGAGCGGCAGGGGATAGGAGCTGGAAACCCTGAGCTTCGGGGGTTAGGGGCCGAAAGGGCCTTGTACTGGTTGGGGTCGTGGAGCAGGGAGGTTGGGGAAATCGGGCCCGGAGAGTTGTTGAGGAGGGAGGATGTATAAGAGGACAGAGTGAGGGGCTCGGTAATTGGTCGAGGTGGGGGAGTTTGTGGCGGTGGTGCCGGAGCTCCTCGTAGTTGCCGCCAGAGATAGCCCTGTGATTGTTAGAGGAGTGGGCAGGTAGTTATGGGGAGAAGTGGGGTCTGGGTATTGTCTGTGGTAGAGAGACTTGTGCCGGGGGCTAGTTGTGGGGCGAGAGAGCCGGAGAGCGAGGCGAACTGGGTAGTTTGTAGGAGGCGGTGGGGCAGGGTTGGGGGTTAAGACCGGCGACTGGCGGGGGGAGGTTGGTCGGCGAGGGTTAGAGCCTGGGAGTTGCGAAGGGTGAGGGGAGCTTCCGTGGAAAGAGTAACTGGTTTGGGGGGCTGGAGTTTAGGGATCTGTAGCCTAGTGACTTGGTGAGTACGGGGGCGGAGGGGGGGGCGGCGGCCGGCGAAGCTCGGAACAGGGCCCGGGGGCCCGGCGGGGAGCCCGAGGAGCTTGAGACGGGGAGGGGCCAAAGCCCCGGATGGGGGCGGAGGGACGGCGAAAATTGTGGGGAGCCTTGTGTGTGTGTGTGGGGGGGGGCAGGTGGGGCCGCGTCCGGGTTCGAGCTCTCCGGTCTGTCCCAGACACTAAGTAGCGTTGGATGTGTGTGCCCGCGTATGTTTGGGGTGAGGGTGAGGGGCGCGCCCGGCCTCGTGCTCGAGGAGAAGGGGCCGGAGGGCGGAGAGCGGTTCAGCGTGGTCATCCTGGACCCTGGGTGCCGGCGGGCAGTGTGTGCGGTCTTGGAGGGCCCGGGGCGGTGGAGCGCGGCGATGTAGGAACTCCGGGCTCTGAGCGCGTGTGAAGGACGGGGGCGGGCGGTGGCCGGGGCTTGGCCCGGGGAGCGGTGTGGGGGGGTGGGGCGCTGAGATCCGAGTAGACTGAAGAAGCCGTGAGTGGGGGGGCGGGGCGCCGGGCCTCCGGTTGGGGGGAGGGGAGCGCTATAGCGAGGCCGAGAGGGCGCCGCGCCCAGACTCCGCCCCTCTTGGGGCGGAAGGGGGAGCAGGGGCGGGTCCAACACAGCTGGGGGCCTGCTGGTTTGGATAGGGACCTAGAGGAGAGGAGGGGGTTCACTTGGGACCTCCATGCGTTAGAGGTGGAGACTGTTTTACACAGACTGTTTCCTAGTACCTTGACTCAGCTTTTATTACTTCCACAGATCCACCTCCGACACTTAAACCAGAGACTCAGGTGAGATGTCCCTTATCTTTACAGGCTGGTATCACTGCCTACCAACAATACCCTTCCTCTTTTTCTAGATTTCTCACTTTAGGGATTGTGCCTTTGGGAATGCTCCTCCAGTCTGGCTTCCATGTGATCCTTGTTTCCTTCCTTTCAGCCACCAGAGAAACGTCGGAGAACAATTGAGGATTTCAACAAATTCTGCAGTTTTGTTTTGGCCTATGCTGGTTACATTCCCCCCAGCAAAGAGGTAGGGACAGAACAGCTACCTTGAGGTGGGGTTGTGTTATTTTATAGGAGGAACCTACCTGAAATGATATATAAACCTGGGTAAATTTGAAGTTCAGGGCTGTGATAGGAAAGCTGGTGTGTGGGAGGGGGGATAATAGAGAAAACTGGCTTGAGCAGCAGTGATAGAGGGGATCTGGAGGCATTGGTCAAGATTTTGGAGTGGTATTGGGTTACTGGAATGGAAGTGTTTCTGGATACATTTTAGGGAGCTGAAAATGGTAACAAATGAGGCTGTACAGAAACAGTTCAAGAAATGTTGCTTTGGTTTGCGGGGGTGCAGTGTTCCATAGACCCTGGGCAGGTGTGGGGAGATTCTGAGAACTTGAGGGCAGAGGTAACATGAAAGTGATCAGTAGGAGATGCTGATAGGAATTGGGATAAGAATAAATTTTCAGTTCAGTGAGACATGGTGGTTGGTGTCTCTGGTTGTCAGGCTAGGTTTGTGAAGCAGCTGATGAGATACTAGGTTCCTGCTGACCCTGCTCTCCCTTGTTTTTAAGGAAAGTGATTGGCCAGCCTCTGGCTCCAGCTCTCCATTGCGCGGTGAGAGTGCTGCAGACAGTGATGGCTGGGACTCGGCCCCCTCTGATCTTCGAACCATTCAGACCTTTGTTAAGAAAGCAAAGTCATCTAAGAGAAGGGCGGCTCAAGCAGGTCCTACTCAGCCTGGACCCCCAAGGTCCACCTTCTCACGTCTGCAGGCTCCTGACAGTGCCACCCTGCTTGAGAAAATGAAGCTCAAGGACTCTCTCTTTGATTTGGATGGGCCCAAAGTGGCATCTCCACTGTCCCCCACATCCCTGACACATACCTCCCGGTCCCCTGCTGCTCTCACCCCAGTGCCCCTTTCCCAGGGAGATCTCTCGCAGCCTCGAAAGAAGGACAGAAAGAACCGAAAATTGGGGCCAGGAGGTGGGGCTGGCTTTGGAGTGCTTCGGCGGCCTAGGCCAAGTCCTGGGGATGGGGAAAAGAGGTCTCGAATTAAGAAGAGCAAGAAGCGGAAGTTGAAAAAGGCTGAGCGGGGGGATAGACTCCCACCTCCTGGCCCTCCCAGGGCACCCCCCAGTGATACAGACTCTGAAGAAGAGGAGGAGGAAGAGGAGGAGGAGGAGGAGGAAGAGGAAGAGATGTCAGCAGTGGTAGGGGGTGAAACCCCAGCCCCTGTACTCCCAACACCCCCTGAGGCTCCTAGGCCTCCTGCCTCAGTGCACCCTGAAGGAGCCCCTCCCACTGACAGTGAAGGCAAGGAGGTGGGCAGCACTGAAACAAGCCAAGATGGAGATGCCAGCTCCAGTGAAGGCGAAATGCGGGTCATGGATGAGGACATCATGGTAGAATCAGGTGAGGGGTTTGGGGCTGCTCTCTGAACAATGGGGATGGTGGGATTAGGGTGGAGGGCTTTGGTGATAGATCCAAGAGCTCAAGCAAATGAACCTTCTTTTCCCCAGGTGATGACTCATGGGATCTGATCACGTGTTACTGCAGAAAGCCCTTTGCAGGGCGGCCCATGATTGAGTGCAGCCTGTGTGGGACATGGATTCACCTCTCCTGTGCTAAGATTAAGAAGACAAATGTCCCTGACTTCTTTTATTGTCAGAAATGCAAGGAACTGCGGCCAGAGGCCCGGCGATTAGCGGGGCTTCCCAAATCTGGAGAGCCCTGACATTTCTAGGCTGGAACTTGAAAATGACAACATAACTTGGGAACTGAGCCTCAGAGTCCTCAGTCTGTTCCCCTGGAGCTTGGATACTGTCCTTATTTCAGGGCAGGAATCCCCAAAGGAGACTTGTTTGGAATGGAAATGAGTGGCTTCCGATCCTACCCTATCCTTCCTCCCCATTCTATGGACTTGAAATTGGACATATTGTAGTTGGGGGGAAGGAAGCTATCCGGGCCTATAGACACAAAATGTCTCTCCCTTGGACCTCTCACCCCTCACTTTTTGGGTCAGGGTTCAAATTGGGATGAAATGGGACAGTTGTCTATAAAACTAGTGTAAATATAGCACTCCCCTCCATCATCTTTTCTTTTACTTCACTCCCCATTTATTTTCTTCCACACCGGTTATATTTTTAATTTTGGACTTCCCCCTTTGAGCATGGCAGCTCAAAGGGTGGAGTACCAGAGCCTGGCTGAGTGAGGAAGGAAAGCAGAAAGGTGATGTTTCTCACCTCTTTTGTTTTTAATAATATTGGCCAGCTGTTTGTACAGACAGCCTGCGTGTTGTAAATAAAGCAGAGTGGGCTCTTGTGTTTATAGCCCTCACTCAGTGTCCTGTTTGGGAGGGAGGCTTCGGAAAAGCTGGCTGGACCTGGGGCTGAAATCCCATTCTCCAATCTGAAAGTGGGCCGCCTCTGGGCGTTACCTATTCCAGATACTCCTGGAGGAGCCAACCCTGAAACCTCAATTGGCTTGCCCCTCCCCACTTCAGGTTATACCCTGCCTCAAACAATCCCCACTCTCAGTGGTGTGCCCAGGAGTGCTTAGCGCTCCCTCAGTGGGAGGAGGACTGCGCCGTGGGAGCCCGTTGCCTGGTCCCTGAGCGGAGACCAGTTTCGGCCAAGGTGCTCTCCGACCTCCTGTGGGGGCACATTTGGGGGCGGGGCCGTTTTGGACCCAGAGGCGGTTGCCTAAGGCAGCGGGTCACGTGGCGGCGGCCCTAGGAGGAGTGAGTCACGTGATCAACGAGGCCTCACGTGACGGGGCGGTGCGAGGTAGGCGGGCTTGTGTCACGTGGCATGAGGAGAGGTGGGCGGGGATCTGAAGAACGCTAGCGTCGTCGGTGGCGGTGGCGCGCGGCCGTGGCATCCGCGGCTCTAGGTCGCACCCTTCGGCCTACCGCCACTACCCCACTGCCTCACGCCTTTCCTTTACTCATCTCCCGCACTGAGCTGGTTCTGGCCGCGCTCTCGCTCGTTTGCGGTGTGCGCAGGCGCGGCGGGGGCGATTAGCTCCATTGGGTGGGCGGTGGATCCCGGGAGCGCGCGGGCGAGACCATGGCGGGTTGCAGCACAGGGGGCGTTGGTGCCGGGGAGACGAAGGTGATTTACCACCTGGATGAAGAAGAGACTCCCTACCTGGTGAAGATCCCTGTCCCTGCTGAGCGCATTACGCTCGGAGATTTCAAGAGTGTTCTGCAGCGACCCGCGGGCGCTAAGTACTTTTTCAAGTCTATGGATCAGGATTTCGGGTGAGCGCGAGGCCTAGACGGGGGAGCATCGGGTTTTTTTTTTTTTCCCCCAGTGGATTGGGCGATATTGAGATGCACAAATCTACACTAGGCTACTTTGAGATCTTCTGCTTCATGGTAGAGCAGATTGTACTATGCTTGGATAGATTGGTTATATCTCAGGGCGGATAAAATTATACTTGGAACAGAGAGCACACGGAGCTACAGGAGGACAGCCTGGGCTATACTAAACCAGATAAGAGAAGATTAAACTGCACTGGGAAAGATACGGGCATTTTTGGGGGGGAGTGGGGATAGTCTGGACTGCACTGAGGTACATTTATCTGTCTTCTGGTAGTTTGGTAAGCTGTAAGCAGTCCTGTAGCTCACAGGCTATGTAGGGATACTCTGGAATCTGATGTAGTTTGAATTATACTGGGGCAGTTTGGGATATTCTGGCATTTACCAGGACGACAAGATTGTTTTAGGACGTTTTAATCTATTGTAATGCAAAGAAGGTTCCATAGGGATGTTCTAGGCTGCCCTGAAGTAGATCATCCTGGAGAAACTTTGACCATTCTGGATTTTACTGGGTTGGTTTTAGTTTGTCTTGGTACCAGACATGGTTTTATTGGGTCACTCAAGACAGGCTGTTGGGGGATAGTCAGAACAGACAGCTGTATTGGGATATCATAGTCTATGTTCGTGCAGACAGCTGCTTGTGGGAACAATGTAGGCTATATTAGAATTAGATGGGATATCTTGGTGTGATTTGGGAACTTCTGCGCTAGGCTGGAACTGCAAATAATACAAGGGAACACATTTGTGGTAGCCTTTGGGACTGAGTCCTCAAATCCACCTCAAGAGTTTTTGAAGGTACACTGCATTAGGTTGGGATAATCTGGGTTGGCAGAAGCTGGTGGTGCAATGGTGTCAGGTAGACAGAGGTGATTTGCACCTGGATGAGGAAGAGACTTCCTGTCTGGTGAAGATTACTATTCTAGCCTAGTGCATCACCCTTAGTTAGGAGAACTGAACAAACTGGACCCTACCTAGAAAGACTGTTCAATATTGAGAGGCAAATATTATCTTGGGAGTTATCTTGAATTTAAATCAAGGTGATTCTGTTGGTCAGCAATGTCATCTTGGGTAATTTTGTTTAACTTCTGTGCCTTGATTTTTTCTTATATGAAATGGAGCTAGTCATAGAGTGAAATACTTATTACTTCAGGTGCATGGCACAGAGTAAATTCTTGGTGAGTGGCAATTTTCATTGTTAGTATCCAGGCTGACTAGTCTATAGACTGGGTTATAGTGTTATAGAAATACAGATCTTGGAGTAGACTGAACTTCACTAAGATTGATTGAGTTATGCTGGGAAGAATATTATGAACAAATTGATAGAGACTGGGCTGTTTTGTCACATCGGTAGCAAATGGATTAATGGAATATATCCAGGCTCCCACATCATGTCAGGCTAAAAGGTTAATCAGACAAGATGTCCTAATTTGAGGGTGAGGGTATGTTTAAGAAAGACTCATATTTGACATATTTATTGATTTAGTTTATAGATATTTGTTCATGCCTGCTAAAGTTAGGGATGGTGCTCCAATACATGGTGTTGAACAGAATAGGTGTTGATGATTCAACGTGGTGGTTGAGAAGAATGTACAAATCCAGTCGATTTCAGGAAACTTGTGGTAGAAATGTTCCCTAAGGATAGGCTTTGAAATCAGTTAGGCTGAGCAGATTGCTTAGTGTAGAGTTTAGTGCCATGTGAGGCACAGGGGAATGGGAAGCTCTGCTTCCCCTCTCTTTAGACATTCTGTGCATAATGAGAAGGCATTATTGTCTTATCTAATGGGTGTTTTTATTCAAGCAAAGACTACATATTTGGACAGCTCTCTGGATGTGAGTTAGAGAAAACTAAAGGGAAGTGAAAGAGTAGAGACTTGAGGACCAAAGCCTTTTATGGGCAGGTGTATAAAGGGATGGGATTGGGAAGATGCTGCCAGCATGGCTCCTAAGTTAACTGTTTTGGGTAGCTGGGTAACCACAAGGGGATAGCCTTTGAAGTTGGATGGAGAAGTTGAATCAGACCCAAGAAAGTTTTTTTTTTTTTTTCTTCTCTTTTTTGGTACTGGGGATTGAACCCAGGGGTACTTAACTGAGTCACATCTTCAGCCCTTTTTATTTTGAGACAGGGTCTCACTAAGTTGCTTGGGGCCTCTGCAAGTTGCTGAGGCCGGCTTTGAATTTGTGATCCTTTTGCTTTAGCCTCCCTAGTTGCTGGGATTATAGGCATGCATCACTATACTTAGCCCAGGAAAGTTTTTGGAGCAGTTCTGTGCTCCTGAAGATGAGCTGGGGAGAGAAGGTGAAGTTGGGAGAGGGAATTGAGTCTGGAGATTCTTAATTGTGAGTGAGTTGTGTAAGCATAAGAGCAGACGACTTGGACAGAGCGGGAGAGAGTTAGCATCTTTGGGATGGATGGAGATTGGGGGAAACTTTGGGGATGAGGGTGGGGATAAACTAGTTCAGTCTTGCTGACCTCTCAGGTCTCTTGGTAGGGTGGTGAAGGAAGAAATTTCAGATGACAATGCCCGCCTCCCCTGCTTCAATGGAAGAGTGGTATCCTGGGTAAGGATACTCATTATCAAGCTGCTCTAAGCCTCTTATCTGTTTCTATAGCTCCCTGTTCCCAGTTGTTGGCAGTGCTGGCTTCCTGCTTCCTTACCTACTTGGAGAGCCAGCAGGAATCCCTCAGCCTTCTCGAGCCTCTTTGATTGGCTGCTCCTCTTTTGGGTTCTTTCCCAGGGTCTCTGAGATCCTATCCCCTTTCTGATCCTTTCTCTTAATTCCTTCTCTTATACCCCATCTCCCAATGGAGTCATGTTTTCTTATTTGCACTCTTTTAGCTAGTGTCATCAGATAACCCCCAACCCGAGGTGGCTCCCCCAGCCCATGAGCCTCGGACAGAACTGGTGCCTCCACCCCCACCATTACCCCCTTTGCCACCAGAGAGGACCAGTGGCATTGGGGACTCAAGGCCTCCATCCTTCCAGTGAGTCGTCTGCATTCTAGAGTCCAGGGGAAAGAATCTAAGCCCTTTGGAGGGGAGGCCAAAGATTTGGAGTTCTGTTCTGATGTGGGTTGGAAACTGTCTCTGCCTATCTAGCCCTAATGTGTCTGGCAGCCATGAAAATCTGGATCCTGAGACAGAAACTGAGTCGGTTGTGTCACTGAGGCGGGAGCGGCCTCGAAGGAGAGACAGCAGTGAGCATGGCGGTGAGGGGGGCCAGGTCCTGGAGGCTGGGTAGACTGGGAGCTGGGAAGAGAGATGGGTCTTAGCTTTGATGAGGGTGAGGGGCAGGAGCCCTGAACCTGAGGTTCTTGTTCTTACACAGCTGGTGGCCACAGGCCCAGTGGCCCCTCCAGGCTAGAGCGCCACCTGGCTGGGTATGAGAGCTCTTCTACCCTCATGACCAGTGAGTTGGAGAGTACCAGTCTTGGAGACTCAGATGAAGATGACACTATGAGCAGGTATGGCTCCACACCTCTTCCCAGGGCTTCTGGCCCCTCTCTTTCCTCCATCCCATCAGTCCTCATTATTTCTCTTGGTCATGACCACTTCTGCCTGTGAGAGTTCTCTCTCTCAACTGTTGTCAGGTTCAGCAGCTCCACAGAGCAAAGCAATGCCTCCCGCCTCCTCAAACGCCATCGACGGCGGAGGAAACAGCGGCCACCTCGCATGGAAAGGGTGAGGGGATTCTCATGAGACAAGTGGGCTTCAATTTAGGCAGTCCTATGATACAGAAGCAGCCTGGGTTGCTGAAGGGCAGTCCAACTCCCTCCTGTCTCTCCACAGACCTCATCTTTCAGCAGTGTCACAGATTCTACCATGTCTCTCAACATCATTACAGTCACACTCAACATGGGTATGGTGGGGCCTGGCTGGGGAAGGGGAGTACCTGGTGCCCAGGGTTCTTAGGGCTTTTCTTCCTCACATGGACTCCCTTCACAGAGAAGTACAATTTCCTGGGTATCTCCATTGTGGGCCAAAGCAATGAGCGGGGTGACGGAGGCATC